AACGGGAACGAAAACGTTCTAGAATGTTCTAGAAGGAATGTAACGAAACAGTCATCAAGTAATGGTTGCTATAGCAACCAAAACGGTCAAAATCGAACAAGGCTCGACCGGAACGAGAGAAAACAGTTTCCACGACTGCAAAAACAGCTAAACACAACAGTTCAACAGAAACAAATCACTTTTTCGTCAAATCAACCCACTAAACAGTCAGTCTTAAATAATTGCAAAATAAAAAAACGACCAGTAACGAGCAAAATAGAAAAAACAGACTCAAGGATCGAGATGTCAGAAAATAAAAACAGAGCATACGACTGGTGGTCGAACTCACCACAAGAATGGCGGAATGAGGAGCGCGAAGAAAGCATAATGGACCCAAAGTGGAACCGATCACTTTCCACCAATAACGAACTCTCGGAAGAGGAGGAGATCACAGAGACAGTCCAACGCACGAGAAAAATAATACGAGGAGGCAGAAAAAATAGGGACAGTTCCGACAGCAAAACACGTCATGCACAACGAGTAAAATGGTCGTTGGAACCGGAACAACAACGAGTAGCGGATCAAAGACTGCTCTCATTCTGGCAGTTAATAGGCGGAGAAAACAATGTTCAGGAAAATCGAGAACTGGTGGCTCATACCCAAGAAGTCAGGGATAACTTGGAACACGAATCAAGTTCAACATTGCCAAAACCGAGCGCATCGACGGAACGAAAACTCAGTGAGGTGAATGTAATAGAAGTAGACCTGACAACCACAGAAGTGGCGGAGAGTGAGGAGGAAGTGTGCTCAATTCAACCGCCAAAGGGACTAGGAAAAACAGGACTGCAAAAGCAGCAACAAGTGGAGACCCTGGACAACCTCGCAAAACTGTTCGACAAAAACTTACTAGCAGAACTGACCACAGAAGACACGTGGATGGACCGCCTCAGGAGAGTGGTAGAGAGAGGGGATAAACAAGGATTCGAATTGATGGGACCCTATACAAATCCGTTGTGGTCACAGATGGCAGTTCAGGACGACTGCATCTTGGTGAATAATCGGCTAGCAGTACCAGTTCAACTACGACAAGCTGTCCTGAAACGAATCCATCGAGGACACCCAGGTCAGGAGGCTATGTTGGGAGCAGCGCAATATCTGTGGTGGCCACACATGAATAAGGACATCGTGATTTTGGCAGAGGAGTGTCGTAGTTGTACCAGATATGGTAAGAATGTAAAATACCTTATTTCGAAAAATTTGTCAAAACCATTGCCACTGCTCACGCAGCCGGGACAGGAGGTACAACTAGACTACGCGGGGCCTATAGAAAATCAAAAAGGAAAAAAAAATCTATCTTTTAGTAGCTATTGATCGATTCTCAAAATTTCCATCAGTGAAGGTTACAAAATCCACAAGTGGAAAGAGCACAGTAAAATTCTTGAGATCATATATCGACACACATGGAGTCCCTGAATCAATTCGATCGGACCAATTTTCAGGATTTAAGGGAAAAACTTTAAAAAAATTCTGTTCGGAACTCAATATCGAGCAAAAATTCTGTCCGGTGGGGGATCACAGAGGTTGTGGTTTGGTTGAACGTACAATTCAAACAATAAAAAGAAGACTGGGAGTGATGATGCTCGATGAAAATAATAAATCAATCAAATTATGCCTCAGCATTATAATGAGAGACTTACGGTGGAACAAGCAGAAAACAATTCAAGTATCTCCGTTCCAAGCACATTTTGGCAGGCTACCAAAAACAGAATTTAAAATTGTGAGGGATAAATTTTTAAATAATTCTGATTCTTTAGACAAACAACACTTGGAACGCTCAGCACTGACTGCTTCTCAAATGAAACGAAGAATTGATCAGTCGAGAGAGAATCTAAAGATAGTGCGCAAGGGACAACTGAGCAGGGATACAAGCCCACTGCACAAGCAGCAGATAACATCGGACAGAGACAAAGAAAGAGCCAAAGCCCTAAAGGAATTGTTGGAAGCGAACGCCCGCTGGAACTACGAATGAAGGGACGCGGCTAAAAATGACATCCGGAAGTTAGTGGACGAGACAGGGCAACTCAATCCCGATCTCCGAAAGGAAATGATCTACTCTTGGGAGAAGCGATTTGTGGAGGACAAAATAGAAAACCAATGCAAGTCACCAACCAAGACTATACTTCGAAAGGACCTTCTACGGAAAAGCGGACAAGCCTTAACCAGACCACTAAAGGGGAAAATCGTTTCAGAAACGGACTCAACAATTAGGACATCAGCCGGTTCGATCTATAGGAAATCGGATATAGCTCAATCAAAAACGGTACTGACGCAAGAAAACCAGCGAAGCACGAGTAAAAGTCCATCGTCAGAACCTACCAAAAAGTTTAAGCGAGTCAGCTCTCCAGAACGACTAGAGGAGCTGGGATCAGAGGACGAACTCCAAGGAGAAATGGAAATCGCTGATACAATGAATCCAATAGAGCGCTTTCAGAGGAGCCAAACAATAGTCACTTCAAAGGACACAGAAGTCGGGGGAGGCCTGAATCTTGCAGTCAAAAGAGCAAAACCCAATTTGGCGGGACCAAAACCAAATACAGAGGAAAATATCACAAACAAGCCGGAAAAGAGCGGAAAGGAAAAGAAAGGCCGAAGCAAGAAACAACAGGGGACAAATCAAGCTGCGACTGCAGCAAACTCGGAGCAAGAGAAAGCAACATCTAAGCCGGAATCAGACACAGTAGATACCAAAATTCAGTCAAGTTCTACGCCGAAAGCAAAACAGCGTCCGAAACTGAAAGGCATTGACTCTCACACTCCTCTTGAAGATATCGTGGACACATTTCACAATCGAAATTTGGCACCGTCTGAATGGGAGAAGTACGCGGACCAATTGTTAAAAGAGGAGTGCAGCGAGTTGCGGATGAACTTCGAGAAAATCCTCAACAAAGCTCGGAGCTGGACACAAACTTCGAACCACCACAAGGATTCTCGGACGAATCAAGTGCAGAAGAGTCAGGTATTAGACGAAGTTCGAGACAAACAAAAAACAAAGAACCCAAACGATTCGGAGATCCGATAAAACATTCAATCAAAGAAATATCTGAAAACCTTACAGGTAGAGGTCTTCTAAAGGAGGCACTTAGACAATACAGAAACCAACTGAGAGATTTTAAAGATCGGGACGACAGACCATTAGAATCGAAAGTGCGACGACTCGAAAGACATCTATTTATGCGAAAATTCGGATATGCTACCTTGGATGAGGGAGTCGATTGGAACCCGAGTTGGGAAATCGAGCTGGAGGAAAACTGAAAAATACATAATCTAAAATCGTCAATTACCAGAAAAAAAAAAAAAAACTTTTCTTTGAACTGAGTAAATTAAACTCTTTAAATAAATTATCCTACTGATGTCGTATAATTTATTTCTTTCACCGTGGGGGGTGTGTCATACCGCTACTGCAGTAGCAGTATTTATTATACGTATGTACATCTAACCTCTGGTGCTCAATCATTAATTTATGGTATTCTCAAGGTCATACGTAAGTGTTGACACTGAGATTAAGCGAGAGATCAGAGAACTTAACAATGATCTATCTCTCAGTACATAAGAAACCAAGAAAAGAGAAAATCTAAATTCATTATTCAGAATACAGTATTGAATTACAACTTGTTTTCAATTGATATCGCAACGCATATCACAGAGTGCAACAGATAAAAACGCATTTGACTGGAAATGATTTATTTGAATAATTAAATGAAAGTAATTAAATGAAATAATTTTCTGAAATGAAAGCATTTGAGTAATTAGGCAGCGAACAAACTGCTTAAACAGGGGAATTGGAAATAAGACGGCAAGCAACCCCACTTCTCCCCCAGAAAAATACTTATCATATGATTTCCATTGGTGAAAATTGTAAGATAAGCTTTTTTATACAAAAATTTAACATCTGGGGATTTTTTTGATTTTAGTCGCTTAACCAGATTTACGAACAAAAAAAGTTTTCCATATTTTTTCTTCAAAATTTTCAAATTTTCGCTTATAACGTCGTCCACGCACAGTCTTGATTAATACAAAGGATACGCACAGTCTTGATACATACTTTATGACTGAAAAAACTCTAGAGTCACTCTAGCGTCAAAACACTCTTGAGTCAGAAGTAATAGTTTGACCAAAAACCCATAGTCGCGCTGGGAAACTTGCAAAAATAGACATAATTGGCAATATTTAAGGAAAACGACAGTTCACAACTTTTAAAAAAAATCGTTGGGCAAATATCTCTAACTACATCCTAGTCTAGCGTTAAAACGCCAATTTACGTATCCTGTAGCCTTCGTGGCGCCTTAATTAAGTTCTGCGTGTTGAGAGAATTCGCAATTCGCTGCACCAAATGTTTTAAGGTATGTTCGATTGTAAGGCGCAGCGCAGCTATGGATATTTGGTTAAACTATGACTTCTGACCCAAGAGTTTTTCGACAAAGCATAAGTCAAATGCTCGAATAGGTAATCACGACTATGTCCAGACTTCGTGTGCTGTTTAAAACAGAGTAGATGCTTTGAATTATCAGTGTTAACTGACTGAATTTGGGGCTTCGTAAGTTTGGCTATAAAAAAAACCATCTCATTCGGATATGAAGGAAGTTGAAGATAATAATTGAAAATCACCACCTCAGATATTATCAATGAAACTGCCTGTAGAAAAAATGGAATTGGTTTCAAAACAATGTAATGAGTCTATTGGCATTTTTTGTGGATCAAACTAACATCAGCCGCCCCCCCCCCCCTAACAAACAAAACCAAGTCCTCCACCCCAGCTTTCAAGGGTGTTAGCTTGGTCCCATTTTGTGGACAGAGGAAATTAACTTGGTTGCAGTTCCATAGAGAAGTCCAACTGACTGCACGATCACTTATTTGAACTGCAACTTGAATTGATTTGGGGGCCATAGTGTGCTAGCGTGTGCTATGTGGTTATCTATAATGCGGGCCATGACTGACTGGACAAATTTTGATTTGAATTGCAGGTGGGCTATGGAATCACAGTGTTTCTGGCCCAGAGTGTGAACTTGATGGTGGTGAGTGAGATGATGCCCCAGGGGGGAAACAGTGTCCTCGGCTGCTTCCTGGTCGCATCCATACTACTCATCGGTGAGTCTCACTTTCCGTTATTGGGAGCTAAATTTTTGAAATAAGGGCATGCAGGGGCTGATGAGAATAACCCCTTGCCACTTTGGCCAGGATATCGAAAACCCGGAAGGAAAGGCATCCATATCTCGCACCTCTCCTTAAAAAACTCTCGGTGTGATGTAATTTGCAAAGATTTTGCTCAAAGAGTCACTGATGTAATATTAGATTGATAACAAATGTTTTTGTAGTTTCTTTAAGGGTGTTTTTAAGACGCGAAACTCTTGGAAACCAACAAAAAATACAACGGCGTCAATTTAAAACGCTATGCTTAATATTGTCTCAAGCTTTGTCAATAAAAAAAGGAAGTAAATTGAACAAGACTGATCGTATCAGGGCGAAGCCCTGAATGTTCCGACTGCCTTTTAAGGTCTATGGAGCATTAATAACATGAAAAATTTCAATGTAATAGAAAAAATAAAAAAATAAAAATTTTTGAAAAAATTTGAGATTTTATGTAAAAACATCCCCCCACACGTCATATTAAGTACAAAGTGATAGATTTTGCGCCTATTAACAAATCAATTATGGCATAAAAGCATCCTTGAACCAATTTGGAACGATTTCTAAGACGGATTAAATCTCGCTTACGCGTTAATAGCGCGAAATTTTTCGCGCGTTAATTGTCCCTAATTGGCCAAAATGGCAGTCTTTAAACCCTCATAACTTTATAAAAAATGATCACAGGTAAAATATCTTTTCAAATTCAAGCTCAGGAAAACAATAGCTTTTGAATGTTATAAAAAAATTCCGTCAAAAATGGCTAGTTTAAAAGTCGAAATTTGTCTGAAGAAAAAAAAAACCCACCCCGAGCACAAATAGTCCGTTACTTTCGTAACAATAAAGTCGGAACAATAAATCAAACAACCAGGCAGCAAATAAATGCTTAACTTTACAAATAAGTTAACTTACATAGTACATACTTCATGGGCAACATATTCTTGTTTTTTACTGGTTTACTACTTGCACGAAATAAAGTTGAAAAAGACCATTGTTAAAAGTTACATTACTTTTCCGTACTTGCACAAAGTAAAGTTCAATTTAAAACCATTGTTGAGAGTTACATCATTGCTACCCTCGAAATTACTATAAATAATCAGCTGAGTTGCGTAATCAAAATACAAAAGGATCGTCAAATTAGGATGTTTTTAGTAGAAAATTTTGAACACGTCATTTGCACCTTGTATACGGTGGTCTGAAATTTTTAAAGTGTCCGTTTTTTGATATATTGGGATGAGCTAGCCAACCGCAAAATTTCTAGAAGAGCTCTATATGCATTTCGTTTTTTTTTCCTATTTCAGTTCTACAGTAAAAAGAAGGTTGCATACACAGTTTAAGATTTTGAGTAACAATACAATCCGAGTTAAAATTAGAGTTTTTGCTGTGTATTGTTACAATTTATGAGCATATAGTTCAAAAATACTGTACATTTTTGGTTGCTGAAACAAGCTGTCAGTGGGAAACCTAAATGTTTTTTTTTGTAAATTGTGCGTAGCGCGCGTTTTTGGAGTAAAAAAAATAGGTTCCAGAACATTTTTAGAAATGCAACTATAAACAATTATACCATACACTATAATTTGTTTAATGTAGCAATTATAGTACTCTATTCTGTGAGATTCATTTACTACATATTGTTTGGAAAATCTTAGAAATCCTACCAATTTTAATCAATTATCTATATGTAATCCTAAATATTTTACCCAATCCACTTCCGCTATTGTGTATCCATCAATTACGACTTTGTTTTTTGAGCAATTCGCATTGAATTTCACAAATTGGAATTCAGGGTTTAACTGCAATTAATTTGAATTCGTTTGATAGATGTAAATCGAAAAAAAATATATTTATCTACTATAAATCAACAAAGTATTGTTTATTTTCAGCCCTGTCGCTGTTCATGCAGATAGTAACCATGAGCATTTTCTTCGCCAACAGCAAAGCCAGAGCCCCTCCCTCCTTCCGCACATTCTGCAACTTCATCCGCAAGTTCGTCGGACCCTTCTACCGACTCGGCCACGAACAGATCGGCCTTGCCAACCGAAACGTTCATCTTGCCGACGTCGCCCCTGCCGAAGTTGCAAGGCCTTCCTTAAATGGAAATAACAACGCAATCCCTTTCAGTGTGCTTCCGAAAGTCTCGCCGAATCTTAAGCAAAACGGCATAAGCAATAACAAAAATCAAGGTCGTTTTGGCGACCGAATTTTGGAAGACGGAAGCGAGGATGAGTTTCCTGAAACGAGCTATAGCATGAGGGAACTCTCCGAGGTCGGAGGTCGAAACACTTCAGTTGATTTCAACCTGCCGCCAAGTTACTTCAACTCGCGAAGGGTAAGCGTAGGTGTTCCGAAACAACGACTAAGCCTGTCGGCTCCCTTTCCGACGCCGAACAACCGAATTTCGAAATCAGGAAGCCTGCCGCGTAGTTCAATGGTCTCAGATCACAACCATTTCACACTATTTGAGAACTCTTCACAAGAATTGTCGGAAATGGAAATTATGGAAGAATGGAAAGTTTTAGCAAATGTTTTGAACAGATTTAACGGCGGCGTGTTTGCATTTTTACTTTTTGCTGTTTTATCTGCTTATGGTTATTGGCATGGGCCTTGATTTTGTCCAAATATTTTTCTCTAAACAACTTAAATACCCACAGGTGACGTGAACTGACGTGCAATAGTTGATTTTTTACCAGGATTTTATTTTGATAACTTTTAACAGGGTAGTGAAAAGCTAGTGCATTGATCTTAAAAGCATGCAATTTGTTTGTATTATGAAGCCAGAATTTTCTTAGTTTTTAAAATAAATTTCATATGGAGTTTGGATATCTTTTTAGTGCTAATTCAAGTTTATACCTTAAAACAGATATTTTTTTTGCAGAATCAGAGTTTTCCCGTTGAGCTATGAGCCGATAGTTGTGGCTGAAAGATTTCAACAAAAATCCGGTCAAAAACCGTTGCTTTCAAATGTCCACAGCCCAATTAGTTTTTCAGCGAGGCAAATTTAAAGACATAGATTCCGAGAAAAGTCAAATTGTAATTCTTTGCTTTGACGAAAAGATATGGGATCAACCGTACAGTGACTCGCCTCTAACTGACATACCGATTTATCTTACCGTTATATTTTTGAAATTATTCTGAAAAAATTCGTATTTTGAACAAGGGGCACATAAGGGGGGTTGGCGGACGCCTCTCCCCATCAGGGACTCGACCCCTTATCGACCCAAATCCCCCCTTTGAACTATTTTCAGATATCCACTTTTGGTTGAATGACCCTAAAACTTTTCTAAAGGCGCTTTTGACGCTTATATAAATTTAAGGGGGGAGCGCGCGCCAAAAAATTTCGATTTTTCGGTCAAAATTTTCCAAAAAGTACCTTCAAAATTAAGTCTGCGCAAGGACTTTTTAAGGCTTTGGGAGAGCTCGGAAAACAAATAAAAAGAGGTCGACAAAATTTCGAAATTTTTTTAAAAAAGCGCCCCCCCCCCTCGAGAAAATCCTAAATCCGCCCCTGTTTTGAACCAAACGCGCACATTAAATCGGTTGAATATAATTCATATACGAGAGAGCCATTGAATACTTTTAATAACCTAAAAAAAAAACATTTCAAAATAAATTCTTTGTCTTACAACTCAATCTATGCTATTCTCAAAAATACATAAGTTGATTAAGGGGGGGGGGGATTGTACATTTGACCGTGTAGATATTGTTAAAACAATTATGGGTCTGAAATTAAAATGCTGTCGGTATTTTAATGAATCAAAGTTATCAGTTGTTTTCAAGCAAAGCAATCATGGACCGTGTCTTGCTTGGTAATTTTTTGATGGGTTTTACAAAGACCGTATTCTATGAAAATTTAGGAAAGAAAAAGCGACGCGGAGAATGACTTCTGAAAAAGAGTATAAAAGCTTTGTTTTCTCTTTTTTGTTTCCGAGAAATTCCCAACTAAGATAATTGGAAAAACAAATAAATGACTTAGCAAACGGAAAAACTTTTAATTTAGTGTAATACAAACAAATACAAAATCACGTTAATATTTGAAATCAAATAGCAGTGCTCTGAATGACTTTCCTAGGTCAAAAAGAACAATTCAATATTGCGCAAGCAGAGCAGAATGTTAACCTCACAGTTTTTATGATAAAAAAACTGAATATTTTGAACTTGAAATGTTTTTTTAATGACTTGAATGAAACGCTGTCATCATTAGACTTTGAATTTTTTTTCTGGAAAAATAAGGCTTCTGCTCTTGGCTAAGTCGTCTTTGATTAACTATTTTTCAAACCAGTTGTTTCAAAATGAGGGAAAATGTTTGATTTGTTTTTGGAATCTGAAAAATTTAGATCTTCCTATTATCATAACTCCCTTCCACAGCCCAGCTCAGAAGCAAAAAATTTATAGCTCCCCATTTCAATAAAACTTTTGAAATGCTCATTCAGAAAAATCTGCATTCTTATTTTGCTTTACTGAACTAGGCTTTTCATAGAGTTACGAGTTATGTATGATTTAATTATATTGCTCATGCTTGTTTGCTGAGCATATTTAATTATTTCATCTGATTTTTTTTTACTGAGGGTCTATAACTTCCTGAGTAAATACCCAAAAACTTGACAAAAAAAAATTCAGATAAGGCTGCCTTGATCAGATTCTGAAAATAGTCTAGAAAAACCAGAAAAACTCATACCGATATAGTTCAGGGGCAAAACAATGATAGCTGGTTTTTTCACTCATGAATAATTAGGCCTAAACTAAAATTATAAGAGAAGAATAAAAGCAACACAGTTTATCGCTATTGTGAAATGAAGCTTTTAAAAAAACTATTAAACCCTTCACATGCAATCAAAAGAAACAACGTAAAAGGAAATCAGATATACCAGAACGTTACGAAAAATCTAAAATAAACATTACGGGATCAAACTGTGCATTTTGCGAATTGAAGGCGGATTCCGCAACAGGCCAATAACAGAATTATTGGGAAATCCGCAACATTACTATTTTTATTTGATCTGCTTTGCTGTTTTGGTTTCCACTGACAAATATCTAAACGCTGTTGTGCTCAAAATCACTCCAAAAACAGGCAAATTTAAGGAATCCTCAAAAAATGTGTAGAATGCGCAGCCAAAATTGCGGAATTCGGAACAGTTTGTAAATTCCATAAAAAATAATAATATGATGGTTTAGTAAAGTTAAGTTGTCGTAGAATCCGAAACTTTAAGTGGAATCCGAAAATTGTAAGCGGAATCAGCAAATTGAAAGCGGAATCCGCATAAATTCGCGGAATCCAATTACATTTGCGGAATCCGCATATATTTGCGGAATCCAATTACATTTGCGGAATCCGCTTACATTTGCGGAATCTAGTTACATTTGCGGAATCCGCTTACATTTGCGGAATCCAGAACAACTACCGATATTCGCTCGTTGGGGAATCCGCAACAAAGCTAGGGTGCCGACAAAAATTACATTAAAGAAATTCTTATGCGGAATCCACAAAAAATTTTGGTTGGTGAAATCCACTTACATTTTGGAACATGTTTAAAGACTTGTCTGTGGAATCCAGGAACACACAGACACAAAATTGTGCTCCTATCCAGTGCATATTTTGGCCTCGTAACAAACTGTGTTGTCGGCAATCCGCAGAGGATCTTTCAAAAGCTATTTAATTATTATTTGATAAAGAAGCACAATCCGTTTCTTGGAAAATTGTCTTCACACACTGACGTGGCAGGGCATCAAATACACGATCGTAAAAAGAATGCCGAACCCATATGCTAAGTGACTCTCGGGATGTCACAGAAATGTATGCACTTTCAAATTAGCAAATAAGTTTATTTATCAAAAACCAGAGCCAATTTAGAAAAACTATTGCTGTGCATAAACCACCAGAGGTTGCAATAACATAATTTTTTTAAAATGTAAGACGAAAAATCATTTTTTTTGGGATTTGTTTGTATGTTTTGGGGAGAGATTCAAAAAGACTGATGGCTTTACGGAGCAAACTACTGACGGCTTCATGAAATTATCATAAAAAACTGCGCAAATTTTTCTCACAAAATTTTTCACTCTAATTTCTACAAAAAAAAATCGTTTTTCAACAACAACATTTTTTGTTTGAAGGTTTTCAAAAAGTTTTGTTGTTTTGCCACTCAACCACATCAGACATTTTTTGAAAAGCAATGAAAAGAATAGGTCGATATCACTTGCAATGAACAAAAAACAATCAAAACTTAGTTTAAGAATAATTTTAAAAAACTATTGAAAATCTTTTTTGAGTAAATAGTGCTAAATTAGGCTAATTTTTGCCTAAGAAGCTCCTTATGGTTTTCATTTTTTAAAATTGGCGTTTTTTTTCAAATAACAACGTTCCACGATCGCTTCAATAGCTCAAAATTAAGCTTAAACTCAAAAATTTCAAAGTGGCTCTTCTCGACAATGCGGAAAACTTTAAAAAGTTTTTATCGCTCAAATCACGGCTGAAAAAACTTTGTAATGGTTCTTATTTCAATCCACTCAAAATATTAATTGAAATACCTGATTGTGCATTTTTGTGTTAAATAGTTTTGTATTATATCAAAATATAAAAAAGTCAAACAATTTTATTTAATAAACGTTGTGGATTTGTATGAATTAAAAATTTTTAAACCAAGTAAGTTTTGAAAATAAATAATAAAGTAGGAAATTTTTTTTGATTTGTCATTTTATTGACAGAGAAATTGTACGGTTAATCCGACAATATTCTATAAAAGTTGTCGACTTGATCAGTAATTTGTTTCAGATTTGTTTAGTATAAAAAAGAACAAAAAATTCCATTTTTGGTACATTTCGATTAGATCTAAATTGATGTGATTTAGAGCTGTCAAACTTAAATTATATATTAATTTCAAAGCGAAATCGTTCTTTCATCCTAAATTATTTGTTTGGTGCCTGGAAGTCAATTTTAATCATTTGTAAAAAAAAATGCAAAATCATTTGAGCCAAATAAAAATGATTTTTATCCACACTCTTGATACAACTTTTTTTTACAACCGATATACAAATTTTTTTGATTAGTTTGACTCGAAAACATATTGACTAAGTAGTCACGAGAATAATGCTTTTCAGTTGGTTTTTATGTTGATGTTTGAATTTATTAGGGAGCTCATAGCGAAATTCTTCAAAGAGAATTAAGGTGACCGTAATTTTAGCGTATTGATAACATAGCGTAAATTTGAAAATTTTGAAAAGAAATTCAATTACATGTTAGCCAATCAGATTTCCCGATACTGATACTTACAAAATATTCCGGCTATCTACCTCATTGTTATTTATGAGAAACTTGGTAGTAAAGGAGCACAACAAAAGAATTATTTTTTCTTCTAATTAGTTTTTGTTGTTAAAGTTGTAGAAAAAAGAAATAAATAGTCATGCGTCAACCATGAAATGGCCATAGCAAAATTTTCTTTTAGAACTGTTCTGCAATAATATGACTGAACCAATATAACAAATTTAGAAATGAATCGATTTAATTTTTATTAAAAATTAACTTAATTCGATCGAAGAGCGCATTTTATCACTTTTTGTGTGAAGGTAATTATGAAGGAAAATATTTTAAGCTGCGTAGCCTCGCAACTGATAATTTTCTATGTACTTTCGGATCATGAAAGTATTTTTGCATCTTTAATTACGAACAAAAAATTTTAGTAGTGCATGATACTGCACTTTTTTTAAATTTAAATTTAAAACTAAATTTAAATTTTTTCCCGCTCAGAGATTCGACGCCCTGACTACCCGAAGGGTCCCTGACGCTCTGACTACCCGACGACGGATAGTTTTGAGAGAAACCCAATCCGGTATATTCTAAGAGCTACTTTCATTGACAGACGTTGCTTCAAATATAAACTGCTGTTTAAAAAGCGTTGTTAAACGTAGAATTGATTCAATAAAGCGTATGAAAAGTTCATAGACGTATATAACAATAACTTGCGTACTATTCAAAGTGGTTTCTGTATCAAAAACTCATTCACAAGATTAAGCTTTATACGACAGTACGTTAAAAAAATACACATATTTTATTTAAATCACCATTTAAAAAAGATTTGTTCAGAATAGATTGGTTATTTTAATTGGAACTGAACTGGGAAATGAAAAAGGGAGGAGGAGGAGGTTTGGAGGTGTTGCCCCCTCTGCAGCACCCCCCTAAAAGTGGTCACGTGGAAAGGAGCATGATGTGGGCGGAGGCAGATGAAACAGAGAGGGTGGCTGTCAAGACACCCTACAGGTGAAATTTTGGGTTCCAACGAAAAAAAATTCCGATCAGGTATCAAGTGTGAATTGCAATTGGTTCAGTCCTTTTATTTGCATATACAATTTAAAAGTATATATATTTTGATTTACTTCTAAGCCAGACGGGCTCTGTCAAGAGCCGAACAGCTTGTTTGTTTGTTCTATTTCGCGTAGATGCGAATAGGCTTAATTTGAAAATTCAATGAAAAATTATCAAAATATATCGTTCGATTTTTTAAAATACATCAAACATCACAGTTAAAACAATCGAGTTTGAAATTACATTGCAGATTCAACCTGAAAACAGCCGGATCGCAATCAACGGACAGCAAACAGCGTCCAGAAAGTGTGTTCGCTGGACTGGGAGGCAATGTAGATAATAGTCAATCTGTAGGTGACACAATGGAAAAGAGCAAGAAGTCCAGGACTGTAGTAACTGCACACGCTAGAATGCAGCAACTGGCACATCCACCACCTAACGTGTATCTGGCTGGTAAGTTTTGACTGGTTGTGATCACATTTCTTAGAAGTCTCTGGATTTTTGCAGTCTTTGCAGTCTTCGTAGCGCATAAAGTCTTCGTACCCGCACTGAAAAAAATGGTTTCGGATCGATTTAAATTGATTTTAAATCGATCAAATTTTTTAACTGGGATTTAAGATCAATTTAAATCAATTTCAAATCGATCCAAATCAATCTTCATCTTTTTTATTTAATCTTCGTACTTTTTTCATACTAAAATCGATCTAAATTTAATCAACGTACTTTTTTCATACTAAAATCGATCCTAATCCGTTTTTGTCAGTGCGGTTAGCGCTTCACGTTTCGACACCAGTGTTCGACCGAAAATTCATAGCTGTCTTTTCAGACAAATTTTTGATAATAACAAACAAGGATAACCGGTTGCTGCGCAAAAACAAATAATTCGACAAAAACGTTCTAATTTTTTTTTTCATTTTTGTATTTTTTCGAGAACATTCTATTGCCACGGAAGCGTTAAATTAAGCTTAAAATTTTAGTTTCTTTTTTAAAAATGGTGTTTCTATTCTAAAAAAAAACAATTTCAAATTCTATTCTAAAAAACCAATCTACAAAAGCAACTTTCATACTGTAATTTTAAACCAGTTTTTCTCGACCACGAAAAATGTTTTGCTAACTTTTTGATGTCGTTGGAATGGCGATTTCAAGGGCTTATTATGTTTTTATCACCGATGGTTATATTGTAAGCCTGATATAGCGTAAGATCAACCGAAGACATTGTTGCCGCCCATTTTTGAAGTATCGGAACAATAATTAAATATAAAAACGATCGTGACAAATTTTGATGATTTAATTTCTGAGTAAAATAAAACCCAGATGGAATACATATAGGCTGTTGATAACTTTAATTGATGTTTCATTATTTCTCTTTTTGCGGATCTGTAAATAGAGTCAAAAGTTGTTTTCGAGTTTTGATTGTTATTCATCGTTTAGTCAAAAATTTCGCTATAAGTTACCATTTTAATCAAAGTTTCTAAGTTAGCCGTTGGCGAAATTGGACTTCATAAAAATTGGTAGCAAGATATCACAACATGGTTTTCACTGTCATTTTTTAGATGATCGGCCCGAGTACACTTTTGGAGACCAGACAAGCAGGACAAAAGTCGAGTTTCTTCTCTCCGATTTTGTAAGCTGAAATTTACAATTTCATTTACAAACTAAAACGGACAACGTTTTCATTTTTCTTGAATTAAACGAACACGCTTCTGTTGTTCCGATTTTTTTCTCGTTTATTGGAATTTTCAGAATTACAATATGGATACTGTTTCATTTTGAAAGTAGCCATTTTAAAACTAAGCACAAATCCTATCTCTAAAACTGGCCCTTAGTTTTTGATTCATATATTATTTATCCATTTGAGCAGGTGCTGTCCTCAATTGCATTAAAAGCCCCGTACTTTTCTTTTTCCGTACCACTGAAGCAGCAATGTTTTTTTTTTTGAAACCAACAAAATAAATTTGAACAAATTCATATTGTATCCGAGCAGAGCTTGAAATATGTTTTTTTTTAAACTAATTGATCAGAAAATCGATTGATGTATTTTAAAAATTATTTTGTTAGACTTCGAGGACTTTCAGAAACTCAGAATTAGATTTTTGCAATTCATTATTCGAATAAATTTTTTTCACTAAGCTTGGTTGTTCATTCGTTACATTGTATGAAAAAAATTCTGTCTTTTTGGACGCCAAGTTAACCTCGTCTGCAATGACACAATTTACCATCTTCTTGCTTATTTCTGGAATCGAGAGAGTCATTATTGTGTTATTTATCTAGTTTTAGTTATCTTATTTTCATAAGCCAATACGAGGCCAAACTGTGCACTAGATAGGCGCCAAAATCTAGTGTTTGTAGGTCTCTGGAATCCATTATTTTCTCTTAACTAATCCCCACTCCGCCTTAGTCGACAGCGGCCGAGCGACAGAGTGGCTTCGGTTTCTACCGGGACAAGACAGCCACAGGAGGAGGAGGGGAGTTTGACTTCGAGCGGGACTTCTCTGAGATGGTGCGCATGACTCAGAGGTCGATGAGGAAACTGCCCCCGATTGAAGTGTCGGGAGAGGGGGGCAAGGACGGAAACACTTTCATAAATCCAGGTCAGCTGAAACTAATTTTCTCTGAACCACGACATTGAATATTCAAGGTTTATAACTATGCATCGACGTACGGTGGTTTTATGATTCCATAACTGATTATGTTGTCTGAAACTATCGTCTGAAAGTCTGAAAATTGCAAAGTTTGGTCGCAACGGTCGCCCATCTGCATTGGGCTCGAGTCGTTTTTTGGGCCGCGCCATCTCCACCTTGATTTCAAAAAGCGCAACTGAATGTTTCGGTCGCAAAAGTCTGGAAATAGCAAAGTCGGGTGGCGAAGTCTGGAAACACCGAATATTGGTCGCAAATATTAATATTTGGCCGAGCCGTCTCCGCCTCAATTTCGAAAATCGCGACGAAGTTTTTTGGGTAGCGAAAGTCTGAACATGCAAAAAAATAAATCCTGAAAATTTGGTGGATGTTTTCGACCTTTAGACTTAAAAATATACATTTTTCTTTTCAGCAAAATTTTAAGATCTGATTTTATAGATCAAAACCTCCATTTAGTTAAACTGAAGTTGGCGTTGAGAACTTATTTTATTGCTCGGTGTTTTTGATTGTTTAGAGTTCCTGCTGAAGAGTAAGATCACGTGGGGAGATAGCAGTCACACAAAGTGTGTGGAGTCATTTGAGAGGCCCTGGTGGCTGAAGAGAAAAGGACTCTGGATACCCGACAAGGTCAGCAGTAATGAACTTCACATAAGCTCATTCATGTCGAATCCCAGGGTTTAGATGTTCGAATTATGTATTGATTGTATTGTTCGACCAATGCCTCCTGTCGAATTTTTGTGCCAAACATCTCCGCTGTCGACCCTACCCAGTTGGCCCACTCCTGTCGACTTAGCTCGTATAATTGTGATAATCTTGAATCTTGCTTGGTTTTTTCATTTAGTTTTTTTGTTTCGAAAAGAAAAGTCAATCAGTTGCATGTTCCAATATTGAGTGAAGTTCGAAAGCCAGTGTATAAAAGTATAATTAAACCAGGATAGCTGGTTACTTTGCATGTAGCACAGAATGTTCCGACCAGAGTGTTTAAGAAACTACACTAAAATTTTTTTTTCTTCAATTTTTTCAAATTTGTGTAGATTTTTCTGCGTGAATTGAAATAAGGATTTAACGTAAAAGTTTGTATGCAACATAATCGCCAGTTATAGTAATATAGGCAAACAGTACAACGATTTGTGAAGAAAAATGACTAGAAAAGCAAAAAAAAATCTTTAAAAAATTTTTTCAAAAATGTCAAATATTTTTTTTTCATTTTTTTTCCAAATTTTTTAAAAAAATTTTTTGAAGTTTTTGATTTCCAAAATGGCCTTATAAATCTCCAATTTTTTTTTAGTTGAGTTAAAATAAAATCAAGCATAAATAAGCTATTGTGAACGGCCTAAATTAAGCATAAATTAGCGTGCTTGCTCGCTTTATTCGATCGAATTTAGACAAAAAGTAAAAAAAAATTCAAACCGGTTTTTCTCATTACTGAGAAAATGTTTTTTGAATTATAATAGATTGTTCGACTTGCGACTAAAAGGGCTTCAAAGTGATATATCACTCAACTATCTCCGATGATTATTTGTGGTGAAAAACAAAACAAAAGGAAAAACTAAAACGCACCTGTATACAAAATTCCTTTCCATTTTTCAAATGGTCGGAATGATTAAACTTGATTTCACTTAATGATAAATTCAGTTTAATTTTTCTTACACCAATTTGGTCAACATTGAAGCAATGAAGCTTTCAGAAAATCTTTCAGGCAAATCTTGAGGATGCTAGGATATTAAAAAGAGAAAAAGATTTTTTCATCGTGAAGATGAGCGAAATGAAAGCAGCAAAGTTTGACTGCATGCAATATATCAAAACAAAAATAACAAGGTAAGGAATTTTTTAATAAGCCTCAGTTTTCTCATGTTATTTTCATACAATCTTGTAATAAAATTATAGCAAAAAAACTTGTTATTCAACTCCAGAGTGTGGAAAAAAAATTTAAAAATTTTTTCATGGTGAGGAAACAGTGCTTCTCATGCTTTTTTCAAACAATTTTTCACAAGAAAATCGTTTAAAACTGTATAACAAGTATTTTTTCTGTAGTATAAAACTGCATATTTGCTTTAACTTTTAAAAATTTTGTTTTATGGCTCAACTTTAATCATTTGTAACAACAAGCGGGTTCTAACTACAGCAATCGTACAACAATTCCTGTGAACAACAAGAACGCGCTGGTTAATTAAAAAGATTTGAATAAGTTTTAATTACGAGAGGTGCCATAAAGGACAAGTTATTGCATATCAAGTTGTCTTGAAGCAAACGCAAACTATTATGACATTAAAAACAAGGATAACGGTTACTGTGCAACTAGCACAGAATGTTTCGACCAGTCGTAGAAAAATACAAAAACGTTTTCTCAAATTGGTGTCGTTTTTTTCTGCATGTTGTGATAAAAAAATCTGACCGAAAAAAAAGAACTTAGGCATATTGGAGCGTCATAGTAAATTAGGTCAATTGGAAAAAGGTTTTTGAAGAAAAATGACTAGAAAAACGAAAAATGGTTCGAAAAAAAATTTTTTGCGGGAATTTTTTGAATTTTCAAGTTTTTGATTACCAAAATTGCGCTAAAAACTCTACCTTTTCCTTAGTAAAACTAAGTTTTCACGGCGTAAACTAAGCTTAAATAAGCTATTGCAATTATTAACTACCCTACTAATTAGCTCAAAAAATTAGACCAAAAATCAAAAAATTCAAACCCGTTTTTCTCGACACAATTTTTTTGAATTTTTTAATGTCGTTTGAATCACGACTGAAAAGGATTTATTATGATATATCACTCAACCCTGTCCGTCCGATGATGCTTGTGGTAGCTGATTTTGCGTGGAAAAAAAAATTGAAACACACTCGAATCCAAAGTTCCTCCCCATTTTCAATGGTCGGATCAATTATCCCGTGCTTTGTTTCTTAGAAAAAGAAGTGTTTTGGAAAAAAAGGAGAAAACAACTTTTTTTTGAAAACTGTAAAATGTAAAACAAAAAACTTCTTCATACATCTTACTAGGGGCACTCGCAACATTCAGGGTGTTGTCCTGATACGAGTCATCATGTTTTTACTGAAGACTAAATAGTTATGTTTTCTATATTTTAGATAACAGAGGAAAACCCCTACTTCTCAATTTGCAGCGGCGCCAGTTTGGACGAAAAATATGTCCCAACCACGGAAGTAAGAAACAAACCTCTTATTTGTTATGATAAAATTATAAATCACTCTCTTCTTGATATTGCAGGGATTTTCATTTGAATAGTTAAAACTGATTTTCCAAAACTTTTTTCGACGATGTAAATTAATTCGGCAGGTGCGATTACATTCGGTTTCCAAAAACGCTGAAAATTGGATGGCGAAATGTTGGAACAAAGAAACAGTTCAAAAATGAAAAGGTCCAATACCCGAGGCAACATCCAAGCCATCTCTGAAATCCGCTGCTTATTTATCTTACATCAAAACGTTTGGTGTTTCAAAACTTCCAGTAGTTTCATTATAATGAGCTTTACTAGCAAATGAAAGCATTTTCAAGTTTCTGGGTTCCAACAGTTTCCAACTTTTCCAAGCTCCAATTTTTAACTGGGTTGGCCACTCTCTAAACAATTTCAGATCCGAGAATCGACTTATCAACTTCTTCCTGTGATAGATTTATTAGACACATGCTAGGTGAGAGGGAACATGTAGCACCGGTGGAGAAAAAGAAGAAGGCCGTGCAGCCATTCAAATTTTGGACTGCCCCTCCTAAACCAATCACAAGTGAGTGTCAGCCGATTTTAATTCCAATACTTGGTTGGATTTTTTCCGGCTAGCGAAAACTTTTATAAAATATAATGTTTCCACTGACGAAATAATCGCGTTCGAAAAACGTAGTAATGTTTTAGTTAAAAGTTTGGCTAAAAAATGCAGAAGCAAATTTGCGC